TGCATTTCTTGTGGTTGTTGCCAACTGGGACAATGAATGTAGCTGTGATTAATGTTATTGGTTTCACCTGTGCTTGTGCTCGTTAAACTTCTCTTGTACCTGTGTCAGCTTCACGCCTTCCCAACGCCTTCCTAGATAATTACAGTTTATAACCACCTGGCTCTTATTTTTGTGTGTTTTTATGATGACATTGTACTTACCAAAGTTACTGATGAATCTGGGGGCACGAGGGATGGTTCAAACGAAGCCTGACCAGGCATAAAGCACAAGCAGTCAGTTGATCGTTGTTAACGAACCCCCTATGTTAGTTAAACATATTTGTGAGAAACAAACGGAGGTAAGTATTATTCCTCGAACTGTCAGACCAACTTCATGGTTCTGCTTTGACCTACACAGGGACAGATCTCGAGGGGTGGCAGCTGCCCAAAAAATGCCTGGCCACCCCAGTTTGGTGTGAAATGCAAATTAATAGGGGATGAATTTTAAAAATGTGTTAAAAAATAGAAATTAACTTAGTGATCTGTTAAGGCCATATTTTAGACTAAGTGATAGGCTTAAGTTAAGTCTTAACTAAACTTTGGGATTGAACCCCCAACCTTCTGATTAGTGGACCCGCTCTACCTCGTGAGCCAACATATTTCTGCCACCCCTTAAAGTCTGCATGACACCCTCTTACCACCCCATGAATATTTCTCTAAATGTTTGACTGTTTGAATGTTTTGAAGAAACCTATCCTATTTGACTCCAAGAAACCTAAATATCTACACTGTACAGCTTTGTGAGCTCGACGGGGGAGAACGATGTTAGGCAAACAGTGACTCATGCTGTGTCATCATAGTACCACAGTGACAGTGTGTTTTATCACACTCGATCCAGTTGAACCTTCTGCTCCGAGAGTGTTTTGGCTTCAGCTCCACTGTTGCTTTGCTGTGAGAGACTAAACATTTTCCTGTAACTATTCTCGCCTCTCAGCTGGGGTTACTATGGTAACCCTGCTAGCAAAATGAAACTAGCATTCCTAGCATTATTTCACCATGTTCTGATGCGTGTGTGTAATCTAATAAAGACGACCAGCACAGAACAGAGGAACATTCCTGTATTGAGGGAAGTTCCCTCTCTTGTTCCCCTCATTGTCACACACACACACACCTTATTCCCTGTGTTCTTGTTGTCGGGGTCATACAGTCGGCATCGTTATCAACTGAACAGCTCTCTGAGGATCATTCGCCGTGCACATGCGTATTTACCTGTATTGTAGCGAAAGCAGTTGATTTCAGACATGTTGGTTTGTCTCAGGTCAAAATTATGATTCCAATTAGGCAGCCGGGAGAAAGGGAGTGTGGATCTGCATTTGTTAATTTGATCATCGTAAATGAGGTTTAATTTGTATGAGACATTCATGCAGAGACAGCTGTGTTCTTGTGTGTGTGTGCAGCCTAGAAACAGCATCTATTATGGCAGCTGTGGCTACCAGGGGAGTCCTGCTTATTATACTACCTTTACTGTACACTAAATAAATACTGCAGAGGGAATAAAGAATAATCTGGACAACTCTCATTTGACAGGCAGATGTAAATTCATAATGTGTGTGTATATATATATTTAAATTACTAACATGTTTCCTTCATCATCTTTAGTACCAAAGCCGATCAAAGAAAACAGTTGAGTGATGGAGTAGAGTAGGAGAGAGGGCATGGGATTGTGGATAGAGTACCTGTTCACTGCAGGTCTTGGGCTAGTTTGAAATAATCACATATTTTATGGATTCTATCTTTACATTTTTTGTATCATCCCTGATGATAAAAAGGTAAATTTTTAGATGTTCAGTTGTTGAAGACAGTCAGTTTTGTTGTCAATATTTGGCTGTTTCCATGTCCTTGACAACCGACTTCATGGTCGTCACACCACCTATATTAAAGAAATGCACGTCAGCCAATTTAATCATTCCTTATAAATTAATACCCAACATATTTTCTAGTTTCAGAAGGTATTTTAAGTCAACAATTGACACCTCTTCCCAAAGTAGCAACAAAATTGGACACACAAAGAATGTGTGTCTATAATTTGCTACTTGTTCCCCACATCCTCTCCAGCAACTAGTCCCTGTTAAGGAGTTGCAATTCCCATACTTATACGGGGTTACAAAATGTCTCATCTTCACTTTCTAAGAAAACTCCAGTATTTTGATTGCGATACCCTAAAGTTTCCACTTATTCTTTCCAATCTGATATATTAGTGTGTTATTTCTTAGCTAACAGTCTGCAGCTGCTTTCCATTTATGTTTGATAGCGTCTTGCAACACTCTCAACTAATAATCATCTATTGACAGAAGTAGCTGATTAATTAATTGTAGGATATAATACTGAAAGAAATTATAATGATATTATGAGAGGATAATTCATTTTAAGGCATTCACCAAACATTGCCAAGCATTTGCTGGATCCAGCGTGAAGATTTGTTACTTATTTAATTAAAATGTGTTTTTCTATTTTATATATTTGTACATTGAATTGTTGAGAATATGATGGGCATTTTTCATTATTTTCTGATATAGTATAGATATTTATTGATCAAAATAAAAATTGACTGTCTTTATTTACACAAAAAGGGTACATAAATAGTCACATGAAAACAGAAAAAACACACTGACAACAACAGCAGTCCATTGAGTCGAGTGAAGATAATTTATTAAAGTTAATTTTAAAAATCTTGCTATCTTTCTTGCTGTTCATGCGTGCTGTGAACCAAGATGTATTTTGAACAGACGAGTGTCCCCATTTGGAGGATAATTTGGGAATATAAACGGATGATTACTGAGGTATTGTGTTTCCCTCTTCAGCCATGAGTAGCCCTGTATTTACTCCACTTCATTGTGTTTGTGTTTATATCTCAGGGTAGAGTTAGACTTGGACTGAATCTCTGTGTGTGAAAGAGCAACAGTGTTGATCTTAAGAAAAATTCTTCGACAAGAGATGTGTCACAAAGTCATTCACTATTTTAAGTTCTCTCTCTCTTTCTCTCTCTCACAGACACACCATGACACACACTCCTCCATCCATACACCACCTTTTACCCTCCGGTGGTACCCCACAGTGCCCCTGGGATCCTTTCAGATGCCAAACACTAAACATGGCCTTTCTGGGAAGTCATTGTTAGTTATTTATAGGGCACAGTGGTGCTGGCAGAGGGGAGCAAGGGGAAGAGGGAAAAAAATCCTCTGTGTATTTTTGTGGCCTCCGTGTGTGTGTGTGGGTGGGTGTGTATGTGTGTGTAAGACAGAGAGAGAAAGATTTTGTGGGTTTTGCCTGTGGCTCCAGCTGATATTTATAAGTCATGTTTGGTACCGGGATATTTTGGGAGTATCCCCTGAGACCTCTGAGATAATATGTCTGACTTGTTTCATGATCCGTATACTCACCTTGTTATTGTCCCACTTCTCCCTCTCTCTGTCGCACAGTCTCTCTCTGTCGCACAGTCTCTCTCTCACACTCACACACACACACACACACACACACACACAGACACACAGCCTGTATCAAGTGATGCGATAGACTTCATCACATTATAACCAGACAAGCACAAATCTGTTTTAGGGAAAAGCTACTTATGTTTGAATTTAACAAGTTACCTATTGGGTTTGATTTATCTAATAGTGTAACTTAAGATGGAATATGCCTTTATTTGTTGCAGAACTTTATGTTTATTCACTTTTTATTTACTCTGTTTCCTTCCTGCCCATGTGTTGGGGTTGTGTCCGTTGTGTGTTGGAGGAGCAGCTCATTCACTTGCATCCATAAACCATGAGTCATTGTTAGAGTGATTTGCTGAGTCATGCTTTGCTTCTGTGGACTTCCTGGCCTCAGTGACCCCTGATCCTGTCCCTGTGTGTGTGTGTGTGGGGGGGGTGGGTGTGAGTGTGAGTGTGAGTGTGTGTGTAGGTGTGTGTGTGTGTGTGTGTAGGTGTGTAAGATATGCACTGGTAAAATGGAAGAAAGCCGTCAGGCAACGTCTGAGTGTTTTTTAATTTTAATTGTTTTGATTTTTCACTTTTGTGCGTATCAGCAATGTAAGAATTACCATATAAAGTTAGGTTTTCTCCTGCTTACTCATACTCCATTCCACGGTCTTGTTATCTTGCTTTTATAGATTGCAGTGTGAGTCTGCTGTGCAACTGATGTTGTCAACAACATTAAAAGATATTTCCATCCATAGTCACAATATTAAAACCAGGACCATATATATCATATGTTTGCCCAGTTAGCAGCATTCAGAACAGCAGAGTCAGTGCTCTTGTGAGAAAGCCGTACGTCAGGAACCAAGACCTTATCGGGGTCAGAAACGAAGACCTAGGGACTGAAACCGGAACTAGGTTCCCATCAAAATGCATGTGAAGTCCCTGCAGTGAAAAAAAGACTGTAGTAGAACAGTCATTCTTTGTGTTTCCGTTTCCTTGTGAGTCAAGAGTTTTTGTTGCATCTATCTACTATAGAGTCGCACGTTATTAATGGAATTAAGACTGCAGCTGTTTAAACATTAAACCCAAAAACAGATCATATCGTCCTCTTTTAGTATGACACAAAGATGGAGTTTCACCAGTAATGATGTGATCCTGGTGTGTAGTTTTAAACTGCCAGCTGAGTCTTTAATGGTCTCATTTCTGTACTTTTTTTTTACACACCTTTTGCATGGAGAAAGATCCAAAAGGCAGCAAATATCACTTCTTTTAACATATATATTTATTCATTGTTGCTTCAAATGGATAGTTTTACAGTGAAGTTACAGACAGGACACAGGAAATGAGAGTGGTGTGATATGCAACAAGGGTTTACCGATGGGAATCAAACTAAAGATGTTACAGTTATGTGATACGCATCTTATTCAGTAGGCCACCACAATATAGTGTGTTTACTCTTTCTGCCCAGCCTATAAAGTATTTTTTTTGAATGATACATCTAAATGATGATCTAGTGATGATTGAACGTCTTCTTCTGTCTTCACAGGACATGAGGAAACATGTAATGATGACCCTCTTGGACACAGAGCAGTCATATGTGGAGTCACTACGCACTCTCATACAGGTAATACACACACACACACACACACAGTTCACTGCAGATATTTTTATATCTTTGGTTTAATAAGTGAGTAACAGACACACTGTTTTATTGAGTGTTTGGTCATTACACACATGCACACACAGAAACAAACACTATTGTGAGTTCAGATTGCTGATGACATGAATAACAAATGTAGGTAACAACAGTGTTACGTAATCCACTTATTGTCATTCATCCTGTCAGGCTAATCTGCTAACCCCATCACATCTCACTGTCATCAGCATTATCTGCCCCCACACACACACACACACTATCTCACCTATATCCTACACCATACAATCTCTGTTCAAACTGCTAACTAACCTTTACCCCAAATCTTTGCCGCATCCCTCCCTATCACATTAACACGCACTCCTCACCTTCCCTACCTGCGATCACCCGATTGTATAACCTGTCGCTGTTCTGTGTGTGTAGGTGAGCAGTGTGTGCGCTTGCATATACATGTGTGTTTTTTATGAAATGTGGGTGTGTGACTTCTCTGTGCTTCTCCCTATGCATGTGTTTCTCTGTGCGCGTGTGACCACAACGTGAATAATCCTGGGCTGTGTTCCCATGGTGACACAGGGAAAGTAAGTGTTACCACGGTGACTGCAGTGAAAGTGCAGATCCCTGAAGGAGGGTGTCAGATGTGGTTCAGTTCAATATATGGAGACAGCTCCACAGCAGCATTGTCGAAAGTTGAAATCTGACTGGCTTGCAGTTTCTTTTTTTGGGGCTCAGAGATAGATATATTAAACTTTTTTATTCAGCTGAGGCAGGAGCAGATACCTGGTCTGACACAGAATTAATATGAGCTGTACTCATCATTCTAATGGGTCAAATCAAGCCTACGTGTATGTGAAAGATGTCGCACATAGTGACAGACCCACAGATAATTATCACCCACTCAGCAGTCAGCCACACAGAGCATTTTTTATTATCTTTTACCTTAGTGTTTTTTTATAATGCTCTGCAACTTCATTTTTTTTGCCACACACTCATCAGTGTTTCCGGACACTGTAGGCAGCTGTACCTGAAACGTACTGTGCATTATCTGCTCAGCATCAAACTGCACACAGACACCGTTAATGACTAGCTAGGGATCATAGTGGAGGAGTGGAAAGAACCATGTAGTTCTCAGGAGTTGCTGGAGACAAAAAAATGACTAAAGAAGAGCAAATATTGGGCTTAAATGAATGTATTACATAATCATTATCACTTAATTTAAGATAATTACTTTAAAACACTCATATAAATAGATGTAAGGTTTTAAAAGGCTATGACAGAATGATTGGAGTAGGAAAAAAAGTCAGAACTAAGTTATAATAAACTGAAAATGGTGTTTGGTCATTGCATGTCGAGCCGACACTACTGAACTCAGCACTGTTGGTCTAAATCACACTACACAGAGGGGATGATTTATTGGAATATAGACTAACTTTTCATTGGTAGAAACTGCATAAATGGTACAAAAATTAACAAACTATCTCTGCCCAAGACAATCTTTACCCCCCTAATTAAATAAAAAGTTGAACCCGTAACATAAATTCAATGTGTGTTACAGACACATCTGAATTTAATTTGTAATCCGGATACATCGTAACACAGGTTAACATCAGATAAGGAGTGTTTTATATGATATTGTACTCGACCTGTTAAAAAGGTGCATTCAAGAAACACTGACATCAGTTGGTACTGTATGTGAGTCGTGATGACCTACATAACGCTCTTCTTCACACTCTTTGTCACCTTCCTGACCTGACACTCTGTGCTCTGTATCACAACTGTATCAATACTTTCTCTAATAAGTGAGAATCAGTGATAATACTGAAAACAACACAACACACCTGACTTCCAACAAGAGGAGCTACAATACTGACACCCAAAGAGAAGCTTTATAACCACAACATTTCCCAAACTGTCTGCTCTGAATGCACACTGGATTTTTATAATTTCTGGACAAGTGAAGTCACACATTTAGGATCACAATTACATTAGAGACAGCCCTATCCTTATCAAACTATATGTGGATAGATCTGAATAAAAAGGCTCCACTACAAACTGATGCTTCCTTGTGAGATACATTTCTTGAGATCTTATATAACATTTCCAAGAAACATTTGTCGCAACAAGTACAAGCTGAATCACTGCTGTTTTAAAGATATCTCAAATCCCTCTTTGTTCCAGCTTTCTTCAATACAAATATTTTAACCAGCAGATTGGATTACTCATCAAATGTGTCATGAAGTCAGGCAGTGAGCCATGCATAGTTGACTGGACTTTACAGCTTCTGGAGCCTCGGGGTCACATCTGTCCATTTTAGACAGTAAATTGAATCTCCAAATTTCTCTCAGCTTTAATGGATCGCTGTGTGTGTGTGTGTGTGTGTGTGTGTGTGTATGTCTCAGTGTGAGTCAGAGTCAGAGTCGGGCCTACAAGGACACTGCAGAAAAAAAAACTACAAAAGATGATTTCATTGTGTGTATGTGGTTACCTTGAGAAGAAATGGAAATATAATTATAAGGAGGAGAAGAAAAGAAGGATAAAGGGGCATGAAATTATATGCAGGCACATTTTTTATGTAACACTTAATTTGTCATCATGTCTGATGCTGGATTCACTTCATCGTTCAGACTGTAATTACAGGTGGGCTAGTTGAGAAATCCACATTCATGTCGATGTAGTTGGAGATATCAGGGTGTCCTGACTTCTGTGATATCTACTCGTTGAAAACAACGACAGAAGTGTCACCAAACTTCGAGCAAAATGAGAAAAAAAAAATCACTTTTCACTAACAGATAAATGTACAAATGTACCATTATAGCTTTGTGTCTGAAATCTACCAGCCACTTTAATATTTTGCCAGCATTTTGCTGGTGGCTGGTGCTAATTTCCCACCCTGGCCACCATAACTGGCATTTAAATCTAAATACAATCCAATATTAACACTAATAACAATTGTTTCAGCTAATTAAAGAGGAGATATACCCTAGTTGTTTGTATGCGGTTTCACTTGGTAACAAACGTCTACAAATTCCACCAATTCAGACAACAAAAGTAACTTATTTAGGCTATTTATTTGTTGTAAGTAAGGCTAGCAGTTGAGGTCTTAGAATAATGACAGGAAGTTTTTCTGTCAACATTGCGTGAATGCAGCATTAATTACATGCCACAAACACGAGTCTTAAATGAAAAAATCTAAAATTAATCAACTTTAAACACCAACACTAGATATACTTATATTGATAATACCAGGTCACTTACATACAGTTCATACTGAAAATGCAACCCAATTATTAATCTCCTAGCAACACAGACTTCAGATCAGCTGTATGTAAAAGTAAAACATCTGAATCCATCATATCATCTGGGCTACAAGGATAAATATGTATGTACATTTATATTTAAATATTGATATATATTGTGATATAATAGAGTTTTTGGAAAGGGGAAAAGGTGCATCATCATATTGATTCAAAAATGTGAAAATCCAATATTACCATAAATCAGTTCACAAATGGTTGGACACAAACAAATATGTGCATGCGACAGGCCTGGCATGCAGAGGGTGTCAGGAATTAGGATGAAAGTGGCAAAAATAGATATGTTTTGTTAAATGTGTGCTGCGAGGATTGCTTAGCAACAAAATATTTAAAGCATTTTCTAATGATAGTTACATTGTGTAGCCCTGCTGTACAGGAGAAGCAGTGGTGGGAAAAGGGAAGTCCTCCCATGGGTCTCCAGAAAACTCCGGAACACGGGCCGAATGAGAATGAGTGTAATTAATGTAAAAAATGTGATGTGGATTGAACAGGTTTTAGCCTGATAGTTCATTCTTGACCTTGGAAACAGACAAAACATACTAAAGGAATAGTTTTGGCAAATATCAGCATTGAGACGATACCACTCTCATGTCTGTGCGTTAAGTAATTCACTAACAGTTTGTATCTTCTGTGTTCAATCTGTACATATGACATATGCTAGGTAGCTGCTTCCAGTCTTAATGCTAAGCTAAGATAATCACTTCATGAGCCTAGCTCCGTATTTTAGCGCACACAGAAGAGTGGTATCAGTTTCTTTAACCTAACTCTCAGGAATAAAGCAGATAAACTTATTTACCAAAATGTTGAGCAGTTACTTTAACTGACAGTCCACTTACTGGCTTCTTCTGGAGCTTTCAACTGCATTTCATGGTCCACATCAACGGATGGAGTTGCACTACAGTAATTTATTCTGTTATATTAGTTCTATTTCCATCAAGTCCATAAATGATTGTTATAATTATTTTGTCTGAATTTCAATCATCTGAATGCTAGCAATTTGTCAACCTAATTGCCCCCAACAGCCCCACACAGTTCTAATCTCGTACATATTTAAATAATTTGAAATGGTCAATTATTAACTGGTTCTCTTGTCCCCTCAGGGCTACATGCGTCCTCTCAAACAGCCAGACAGCGGCTCCATAGTGGACCCTCTGCTGGTGGATGAGATGTTTTACCAGATCCCGGAGATCCTGGAGCACCACGAACACTTCCTGGACCAAGTCTCCGGCTGCGTCAGCCAGTGGCACGATAGGCAGACCGTTGGACACATCCTCATCCAATCAGTGAGTAGAGATGACGATAAGTGGCATCTGTCCTCTCAGAAAATAGTTAATAGTTAAAATGTCATTGTTATCTGTTTGGATTTTAGTCAGAGGTGGAAACCCAACTATTTTAGACTTCTCAAGGTAACTTATTGGGAGTTTCAGTTTTAACATGACTTTGGATGGAATTAGTTTGAATATGAAGATGTGTTTCATTCAGCTGCCCTGTTACTTTCCTTTCCTTTTTCATCATGCACATGCGTACATGTAAAAAGCCAATTATGGACCTGTTTACCTGTTTATGTGGCAGAGAAAAAATAAAAATAAAAACTAGCTGGGAAAACTGCTTTCTCTAATCCTATAACCCAATTATGGAAACCAGGTTTTTCATTTACATGCCGTTTAAGGCAACAGGAAATCCAACTGCAACCAAGTTATTTAAGTGCCTGACTGAATAGTTTTCATGGTGGATGTATTCAGCATAAGTTAGCATTGTTAACCTCTCACAGTCGCAGTAAGCCCTTTACTTCTCTGAACAACATCTGTCTTGAAAACAATGTGACTGTGATGTATGAGGGAGACTTAAGAAATAATAGTCTTATATCCTCAAGCTTGAATCAACAGTAACCAATGAAGCCCACCTAAAAGGACACCTCATTCTTTACACATCAGCAAACCATACAAACCATAAACATTGTTCAAGACGTACTTTGCTTATCTGCAACAATTTTATTGTTTCATGGTGTATTTGTTTTTATTATCCCTGTAAGACAAGATAAAGACAATGTGATATCCACACAATTTATTACGAGGTTTCATACCAGAAATTGAATTATTCTGAAGTTTAATTCCAAAACCGGTTGATTTACTGCGATAATAGAGTAAAGCAAAGTGTACAGCCATGACACATAAAATTTATTATCTGTACCAGAGTCTTTAAAAAGTATTATTGACAGCAGCACGGACTGAAGGGAAGCTGTTTTATTAAGAGATGGTCTATAGTTGGCAACACTAGTTTAATATTTTATTTTCCCTGTGACCTCTTGGCGACCCATTTAAAATTTCCCATGACCCCAAGGGTGGCTCTCAACGTAGACTTTGAAAAACAGTCGGCTAAAACATCCGTGTTAGGCTAAATGTCAGGCAAGGCTTCTGCAAAGCAGTTTTTTACTCTGAGCAAACATTAAGTCAGAATTTTATTGTGGAAGAAGAAGCACAGATTCTATATAGACCACAATGCAGTGTGGCTACGGGCTTTGTTTTTTTTTTTTTGAGTGGGGAGAGCCCCTCACTCTCTTGCTATGTTAATGCTATTGTTGTCACTCTCAGCACCTCACAGCTTGAATGAAACAGTTTGACAAACTCTCACTGGACACACAAGCACAAAATGTGGGAATTTCAGGAAACCACTAACTGGATTACGAGCAGATGAAGCAGGTTGAGGAAAAGCTGCTGCACCAAAAAATTTAATTTCTTCATTTTACAACACTTCATACCTGCTGAGATAAATTCACAGATTATAAATTTAAAGATCCCCTCCAGCATTTAACATATAAAAAGACATACACAAATAATCTTCTTGGAACAATAATGATTCTTCTGCAAAACAAGTATTATTTCTCAGTGTATGTGCACTGGTGGCTTCACGTTTCTACATCACACTTGTATACGTTGCAAATTTGTGATGTCAGAAATCATGCTTGTAAGCCCAGCCCCTTAAAAATCTGATTTTCAGTGAGGCCGTACACAGGAATATGATTGTAAATAGCTGCTGTTATCTGTTTAGTTGAAGCTGTTGCTGATCCTCCACACTGCTCAGACTGAGTATCCCTCCCCCGCTACCTCACCCTCCCCTGCTCCCTCCCGTGTCCCCCCCCCCCCCC